GACTGAGCATGTCCCGCCAAACTCCTCCTCACAAAGACAACCTCCTTCTCCTTGACGTCACCACACGCCGCACATACCAGACGCGCAGCGCCGCAATCGCCAAGGTCACCCCATGCAGTATACACCTTGCAATAGAAACACACCCAACCATAATGTCTCGCATCTTCCCTCGTTGTAACCTGAACCTCGAAACAAGCGGTTGGTATATTGTCTGTACTGGAATCAGGTTTGACCATATAGTGCCCATCGGAGGGGGAAGTAGTTACCCAGGCTCATTGAACCAAGCTGCAGATGGAGTGAGACAGGCTGGCAGGCTACATGGCCGCACCGCCGTAGAGAACCTGAGACATGGCGAGACCCAGGCGTGTTGTAGTGGGAGCTGCGATGACAGATCCATCCGCGTTGTGCTGGGCTCTCTGCGCGAGCATCTCGGACCGCAAGTTGCACGAGCGCTAGGTGGGCGGCTTTAGTGAGATCGCAAGGGATGTTGAGGATTTCGCGCTCTGGGTAGGGGTCAGCGACTTCTGTGGTGTGGGCGAAGAGAAGGTGAAAGGGACTTACTAGTGGGTGTCGTCATATTGCTGTTGCTCAATTAAGCGGGTGGTTAAGTTGTAGCGATGGTCTGTTGGGAATAGTGTTGGAAGTATGCGTGCATCATGCAGCAGAAGCCGGAGACTTCGTTGAAAGCGAGAGCAAACGCAGTCGCGACACTATCCTAGCGTGATCTTGAGCTTTCCACGTGCTGGTAGCCACTTCGCAGCAGGAACAATCTCGTTGCACCTGACGTATACAAGCACGTCGCCCTTTCGCTTCCGACATTCAATTGATATCGTACCTGCATACACGGAGCGATCACTCGACATCATGGACGTTGTCAGCAGTATGTATACCTCAACTGCACCAACTACTCTCGTGCTAACCCTACGCAAGAGAAGGATATACTAGAGCAGGAAAACTTCACAGCGCAAAGAATCATGCTATTCGCAGTCAGACAGTCTGCAGAAATGGCCCGAAACGTAAGAGCCGCTTCCTTCACACATTTCTTTACTCCTCTTCCCAGGTCAAGACATTGACACTACGCAGTCCAACCCCCCTCTTCGCGGATGGGTCTGTCACGACTGCTCACACTTCAACGTACCGGGCACCATAGCTTCACCCGGCGGCCCATGTCAAACATGTGGATTGCCGGTTTGCGAGGCGGAGTGCGCCGACGCAACTGTTACAACGCGCGACGACCGCCGCTGTTCTGGATACGCTTGTTGGTACTGCAAATACTTCTATCCGTGGCCCGAGGACACAGACGGGAATCGTATACCAGGTAGCACACTTTCTTGTGTTGTCTGTGAGGACTTGGAAGAGGAGGAAGTGGTGTTTGTCAAGAGTTGGATTGGGGCATTAGATGCAATCAAGGAGGAGAGGACTGAGCAACAAGAACAGAAGGACAAGAAATTAAAGGATGAGAAAGAAGTCAAAGAGGCTAAGTTGGAGGATTTCGATGATGGTCAAGGTGACTTCGTTGTAGTCAATAGGCATAAGGCCAGATCAAATCGAGGGGCTGGAGGCGGAGGTGCTGCGCGATAGATTGCGCATTTCAGGCAATACGAAACTTGTAGTTCAAGTCTGAAGTATCTCGGACTGTGGTTTGGTGTAGTTGGACAATCTCCACATTGATGTTCAAGCGCCTGTCCACGTCCTACACGGGAAATATGCGACACTTTTGAGAATTAGGCCCAAGATAGCTAGGCGCACGCCAGCCAAGATAGGCTTAAGTGTCGCATTTTTCCCGTGTAGGAGGTGTGTCCAGGTGGTGACGTCAGTCCGCCGGCTCGTTATCGACACGTGACTGCTCAGTACGGTACTCTCGACCATGGGTGCAATAGCCTAACAAGAGCTTGGAAACACAAAGGCCATAAGGATGACTAGAACAACACAATATTTAAAGCTTTGCATAGCTTTCAGGCGAACAACATTTACGCAATTGGCAGGCCCTCGCCCACCTGCGGTCACAAGCGGCTGATTCGTTGGTCTCGGGCTTGGCGGTAGGCAATGAGTGTGCGGAAGTATCTTACTACTCGATCTACGCTTCAATCGCCATGTCCACCACAAGCTTTCCACCCCGACCCTTGTGGTATTCGTCTACGAGCTTGTTCAGCTTCGCCAGCGGAAACGAAGTCGACAAAGCGCGAATACCATGTTCGGCGGAAAACTCGAGCATTTCACGAAGCACTTTGTTACTTCCTACCAGGCTTCCGATGATTCTTATATCCCGAAACACGACGTCGCGCGAGTTGATGTGGAAGCCATTCTCCGGGAACGACACGACAACGCACGTGCCGTGTGACTTGAGCAGGGCCATGCCGTAGTCAAAAGCAGCTTGGCTTTCCGGCAGGACGATCACTGCATCCAGTCCCATCTCGCCAACATCTTTCTTGTTGTCTTGTCTACCGATCTCCTGAACGACATCCGCTGCCTTATTCTTCCGGGCGTCTACGATATAAGGCTGGGGCTCCAATCTCGAGGCGACATCTTGCGAAAGCTTGAGAGGCTCATCTGCTGCCTCAATACCCAGGACCTTGTACCCCATCTTGACGCCGTATTGTAATCCCAGATGGCCAAGACCACCGCCAGCTCCTAGTATGCCGACCCGATCGCCTTGCTTGAGTCTGCATCTTTTGAGGGCCCCGTATATGGTCACGCCGGCGCACATCAGAGGAGCGGTCTCTACTGCGGTCAGACCGTCCGGTATGGGTGATAGCTGTCTCGCATCCACAACGGCATACTGCGCGAACCCTCCGTCTTTGCTCAGCCCTTTGTTCTCAGCATTGATACAGTTCACCGAGTAGCCTCCTTCATCCATAGCAACGGGATCATCCACGCGCTCGTTCTTGCACTCGAAACATGAGCCACACGCATGGAAAGAACGCCCCGGTACACCGACTCTTACGCCAATCTCGAACGCGCTAGCTTCCTTGCTGGGCGTCTGGAAATGAGCGACTACCGTCCCTGCGAACTCGTGGCACCCGATGTGAGGGAAAGATTTCGGCAATCCTGGCATCTGTCCTTCCGCTAGGACATAGTCGGTATGGCAATACGAAGCAGCGTCTACCCTGATGAGGATGTCATGCGGCTCCTCCAGCTTCGGAATTGGCACTGATCGTAGCCTGTATGGTTCCTTGTAAGCCTCCAGGTACTGCGCTTGCATCGATTCCGGCACAGTAAACGACATGGTATTTTGAGAACTTCTCGATTTGATACGGAGCGGGCAGTTGCCATTCGACTTCACCTGGGCAGAGTCTCAATCTATATACCTTCTATTAACACTGACGGATTCAGCAGATCTCGATATCTCAAAGGAGTTGACCCCGCGTGCGGGGTAGTTGACAAGGTGGGGCCGCAAGACGGATACATGCGAGCGATTTCCCCAACTACGCTTTCTCCAACCACGATGTCATATTTGGTGCCAAATATGGCTTCTTTGGAAACATCTCAACTACCAGCTATTGCCTCCTGTCATCCGCCATGGCTTCAAGTAACGACACCGTTGTTCTTCCAGCACCGGCTCACGATCAGACCTACGTTACCATCTCAGCCCTCGAAGCCGGCCAGCTTACCCTTCCCGAGAGATTGTTCGTCACAGATGCCGACCCAGAAAGACGTGCGACGGTCCCATCTCTCTCTTTCCTGATTCGACACGGTGCATCCAATCTCGTCTTCGATCTCGGTCTCAAACGCGATTTCTCTGGCTACAGGGAAGCACAACAGCATCATATAGCGCAACGCCAGCCTACCAGTGTCAGTCCGGATGCAGCTGACAGCCTGCGAAGGGGTGGACTTGACCCAAAAGATGTGGACGTGGTGATGCTGAGCCATGTTCACTGGGACCATGTGGGTACACCCAGCGATTTCACAAACGCGCGATTTGTGGTCGGAAGTGGGACTATGCATCTTCTTGCGAACGGTGGTGGGCCACTTTATCCATCCGAGATATTCAACCCTGATGAGTTGCCTGTCGACCGAACGAGTGAGCTACCACCTTTTCGCAAGGCAGAAGCTCTACGCGCGTTCAAGAACCAGTTAAAAGAACTTGAGTGGAAGCCGCTGGCGGGGTTCCCCGCCTCCATAGACTTCTTTGCAGATGGATCGTTATTCATCATCGATGCACCAGGTCACTTGTTTGGACACATCAACCTTCTCGCTCGAACAGGACCGAAGAAATGGGTATATCTTGGTGGCGACTGCTGTCATGACCCACGCATCTTGAGTGGCGAGAAGGGTATCGCGCTCTATGACGATGGGAAGGGTGGTCTGAGAAGTGTGCATGCTGACACTGATGCTGCAGCGGCTACCGTGGAAACAATAGCAAGGCTCTTGAAGCAAGGGACTGTCCGTGAGGAAGGTGGAAGCCCTGTAGAGGTAGAGCTGGTTGTAGCGCACGATGGAAGTTGGGCGCGGGCGAATAGTGCGGCGTTTTTGCCCGGGCATCTTTGAACCGTGGCTGAGCAAATGATATCGCGTGCATATAGTGCACCTCAACACGGCTCTGTTCGTAAACGAGTTTTGTCCGACCCTATATCAGTCGTCGCAATATTCGCGCTCTCGTTGACCTATAGTATTGGTAATTTGCATAATTTGTAAGTTATGATTGGTTCGTGGGCATGCTGTACCTACCTAGGTAGGTCGACGCGCTGTGTCACGTGATTACCTCACGGGTACATAGGCTCTCCTTCCTTAGAAGTTAGCACCTTAGCTTTTACAACAACAATAACTCAATACACCATACCTCGCACGCTGACTCGGGTGATCACATCAACCATCGTTCAAAGAAGAATAAAACCAGCGCTACACGTCCTCCTCGTTCTGATACCACGACATTCCCACGATACACCAACATTATTCTTATCGTGCACAACGACCCGACACATTAAAAAACTCGAAAAACATTCACAAAACTCCGGCAAGACATCTCCGTGCATCATGTGCAGGACTCCATCCAATCCGTCATGGATGTACGATGGGTCGGCAGACAACACTATAGGTACGAAGCCTACACCACTGAGAAATCGGAACAAGACCAACACTAAGACTACGTGCAGGGGAAGGTTTTGAGATGCAACGGCAACATACCGAGGCGATGGAAGGCGTCACGAGGACTTGTGCGGCCATAGTTGAGGAACGCCGGGCCGAACTCGAACGGCGAGAAAACAAAATCAAGGAGCGCCAAGTTGAGCTCCAGAAATGCAGGGCGCGACTCCAGGAAGCCGAGACTCAGGTGGATGTTGCTCGAAGCTGTCTTGCCACTATGGGGCAGAACAACTACGTAATACATCAGTACACCGCGGAGACGAACGACACCTATGCAGACACGGATCATGATAGACTCTCGAGTCACTCGGCACCCCCTCCTTATTCGCCTCCCAACGATCTCGATCACGAAAGGATACCAGCAGCAAGTGACGCGCCGATAGACGGAGACACAGATCAACTACACCAGAGAGAGCGCGATCATGGAAGCAGCGACTCTGATAACAGCAGCGATGAACGCGACTACCATGAGCGGAGGAGAAAACTCATCGCAGAACTTCTCCCTCTCTACAGGGAGATTGGCAAGTCAAAGAGTGAGCTGACGAAACGCAAAAGAGAAGCACGGGCGCCCCAGGAGATGATCGGACTGCTTCGAAGACACATCAGCCTCATGGAACAAGCAATGGGTCCGCTGAAGCAGTTGGCGTTCGATGTTGGCGAGTTCGATCCTCTAGTTGATACCGCGATAGAGGCCGTTACGGGAGGACCGATATCCCTAGGATGGTGATCGTCGCGAGATGGGCAGAGGGTGTGAGGATCGAGATGGTCAAGATGAAGTGAGCATGGGGGACGCAATACTTTTGTTGTTTTTGAGCACAGTTCAGTACGGGAAAGGCTGTTGGTCCCAGGTCTTTTAGCAAAGAGCACGAGGATAGCCATCCATCAGGTAGCGGAACAATCCTAACCACAAAATCTCTGCGGTTCAAGCTATCTATACAGCTAAACGGTTGTGTTAGACATGCTAGGGATTAGAAAAAAAAGGTAAAAGGATGTAGATCTAAGACAAGACATCGTCAGGCCTAAGAGTGGGAACGTAACTCTAGGTTCGGCCCCATACTGTTTTTATCAACATTCAGAATCATACTAGTTACGCTCGGCTGGTTCGGCGCATAGCTCAAGACAGGTAACGAAACGGACAGTGAAAGATGATGCGTCTGCATGACCACCGACAATCGCGCGCTTGTCTTGTATCCGTTTGCTTTACAGATTTGACGAACAGTCTTGGCGCTATCTCGCTACATCAATCGCACCCGCTCGATTATCTTGATATCGCCCCGGTCAAATTCTACGTCTTCGTATATACCGCCTCGGTCTTTGATCCTGGATATGCGCTCCTTCGCCTCGACCGCACATTAGCGCCCTTTCAAGTTCCATTGCGCTTTCGCCCGCATTCAGAATGAGCCGTAGATCCGACACAATCATCATTGTCACCGATACCCCCGCCACAATGTTAGGTCTCAGTTATCACCACGCTGAGATATTCATCGCCCATATCGTCTGCAGCCTTATCGCCGGCCTCGCAGTTTTCACGCGCTTCTTCGTCAAGATCAGGACTAAACAGGGCCTCAAAAAAGACGATCATCTTATTCTCCTGACCTTACTTCTATACTACGTCGCCGTCGCCGTCGTCCTAAAAGGTACATACCGACCACTTCAGGAGTTCATCAGCGCCCGCAATGGACTGACTATCAGATAACAGAATGCTTCACGAACTTCGGACCATATACCAGAACCCAGGTCCAAAACATGCATTTGGACGATTCCTCCAAGCTGCTCAGTGGCTACCGCAAGGTAATATCGCCCTCTCTTATCCTCTCCTCTCCTCACCCTCTCCCGATTTCTCTCCCAATTTCTCTCCCGATTTCTCTCATAAACCCTCTTTCAATTCCTCTCTTCCCCACCTCCCGCTCCCCTCTCCTCTCTACTCCCTCCCATCCCCAAAACCCCCCATCCCAACAACCAACTAACCCCCTCAAACCAACAGGCCATGCTAATCGCCTTCCTCGTCGTAATAACCGCCCAATACACCTGCAAACTCTCCATCCTCCTCTTCTACCGGCGCATCTTCTCCACCTCGAGCTTCCACCAGCGCGCCTCGCTCTCCCTGATAATCTTCACCTCCCTCTGGTACCTCTCCACAACCATTACTACAGTCTGCATCTGCCGGCCGTTGGCCCTCGCCTACAGCCCCGATGAAGATGTTAAACTGACGGATGAGCGGAACAAATTTCGCGATAATTGGACGGACATTATACATGTTTTCCTTACGCTCGACGCGGCTATCGATCTGGCCATCTTGCTGGTCCCGATAAGAACGGCGTTTACGCTGCAGATGGCAAGGCGAGCGAAAGTAGGGCTTGCGGGAATATTTGCGCTGGGCGGGTTCGTTGTGATTACTAATGCGGTGCGGATATCTTTGTTCTTTCTCGGTCGTGAGAAGGATCCCGATGAGAGTGAGTCGTCCCATGGTTTGACACTGGTAGTCTTAGCACTGACATTGACCAGTTTTCTACCATGTCACCGAGCTTTGGACCTCTATCCATGTTTGTACTGCTGTCTTGTGTGCTTGCTTGCCATATCTTAAACCGCTTTGGACGTCGGTTTCTACAAAGGTCAGAACGAAGGTCACGGGCATGAGGTCGGGTAAAGACCAGGGTAGTTTCCAGGGGAGTGAGTTAGCTGTGTTGAATAGTACGGATATGCAGGATTGGAAGGCTATTAGGAAGACAGTGACAGTTCATCAGACGTCTTCAGAAGAGGATCGTACGGTTTGAATAGAGTGCGCCTTTGACTCAGACTGCAGTCTGGTTCTGGGTCGGACTGGTCATTGAGATGGTACTTTGGTAGAGGATCGTACGGAGCGTTGCAGATGGTAGCTAGGAAAAAGTGTTTGCGAAAGACGTTGTTTACACCAAATACACCACAACAATAACAACAACATAAGACCTGGTACAGGTACCCGTACTCTACCATGGCCCGGTCTGACAGAGATGAAGACGTGACGTCTGGGTCATCCACGTGGGTGTGGAGCTCCCGAGGTCCTCAACACAAGCCGCTTGAGGTTTAGCGTCCCGAAGAATTTCAAGCTTCGCGTAAACCCCAATCTATCATTTCGCATCACTTAGACAACACACGCAGTAGCATCTAGTGGGGAGATTCTTGCACATAACTCGTTATCAAACCAAAGGTAATATGATCATGCACCATGGCGTGACATGAGGAAAAAAACACACACAACGCCAGTGGATCCCGAAGCACATACCACCCATAACCCAGGACCCGACTCTTCTGACGTCTCTCGAAACGCCGTTAGCACTGATTGCCGTTATCCGTAGATGCTCCCACCGATATCATGATCCCAGAATCGCCCCGCCATGTACACCTTGCCTTACCCTGAACTCCGGAAAAGAAGAATGATGGACTGCTGCCATCAAGTCCATCATGGCCTACACGAAGAAGGCATCCGGGAGGGTGGAAAGAAGAGCAAAGGAGACTACGGCACCGGTAGCACCAAGCAAGGGATAGGCAGCCTTGTTGAGAACCTTGCTGAGGACTGAGCGGGGAGTCTTCTTGGGACGCTGGGCAATAATGGCAGCCGTCTGGATTGCAGCAGCATCATTCACTGGAGCAGCAGCTACCGAGTTTGAGGTTGCAAGCTCATCGTCAATGACGGCCTTTGATGCCTCGCCGAGAACGGCTTCAGGCTCGTCTGCCTCAAGCACATCTGCCTTGCGCTTCAAATCTTTCACAGATTCAGGCGTAGGCGGCTGCTCCTCAACGATCTCCTCGATAGAGACCTTGGTACGGCGACCTGGCTGCACCGGCGGGGAGGTCTCAAAGTCGGGTACAAAATATGGTGGTGGTGTCTGCAGACGGCTCGCTTGCATGGGTTGGCTAGGATAAGGAGTGAATTGGGGCATGGGAGCACGAGCCTCATTCGCCTCTGCCATTGGGGCAAGAGGAGCCGGACTGAACAGGGACGGTCGGTCACCAAAGTTGGTACCCAAGTAGTTTGGCGGAACGCCCTCGGAGTACCATTCCTGAAGATCGGCCACTTCCCTGAAGGAGCGATAGTTTGAATCGCACCATGGTGCTGCCCTAGACGCCGAGGGACGTGGCGGCAGAGGTGGAGGCGCGTTATCTCCATAAACGTTACTGTTCGACATGGAGTTGCTGTCAGAGCCCTGCATACCGAACATGTACAGGCGTGGTAGCGACTGCTGTGTGTTGGCTACGTCTTGTGGCATGTATACGTCCGAGAGCGAAAGCGTCGGTGTATCGCGCGGGAAGGAGTGAACAGTCTGGGGTACTTGGCTGTGGATGGACGCCTCGTTCTCTTTGTTGGATGAGGATGTGGTGGATTTCTTGTGTTCAACCTCTTCCATTTCCTCGTCTTCAGAATCCTGAATCTCTGGCTCGGAGTCAGACAGCATCTCGGAACTATCGATGCTGCCAGCCTCGCTGTCCGAATCAGAACCAAGGGCGGCCACGTCTTCTTCATCGCTTGAAGGGTTTGGACTGGCAGGCTCGAGGGAGTCGTCACGGCGGGACGCAAAGCTCTCTGGGTTGTAGTCCTCGTTGGGAAGAGTGGTGCGCATTGCGGAAGTTGGGTAGTCGTCCTGACCAACACTGAGAGTGTGGTCATGCTCGTTGGGGTGCAGGACCTGATCCATGATCATGGTAACCTCTTCTTGGTCGTCGGCCTCCGAGTGGTCATCAGCTGCGTCGGAGTCGTCGTCGATGACGAAAGGATCGATCTGGCTGCCTCGGCGCTCTGCGACTTCCTCCTCGTCACTCTCGGCATCAGGGACGGTGAAGCCAAGAGAGAAGGGGCGTGATAGCTGCGACTCGAAAGTGTAGGTGCGTGCTACGAAGAACTCTGTTTGGGTTGGTGTCAGCTCAGAAGCTAGGGTAAGAGGAGGTTTGGAGGGCCTACGGGAGGACGTACCCTCATTACGGTTAACGTCAGTGCCGAACTGCAGGACATCGCCATCGTTCAGCTTGGTGGGTGTGTTGGCAGACAGCCTCTGACCGTTCAGCATGGTGCCGTGCATGGAGCCTTTGTCGGTAATGTAGACTTCCGGAACGCCGCTGTTTGCGTTGGCCGAGAGGACGGCGTGCTGTCGTGAGATAACGGGGCTGTCGATGAAGGCGTTATGGGGTGCCGCCATGAGCTCTCGCTTGGCCGCGTTGCTGGACGCTCGACCGATGGGAAACTCGCTGTTGAGCGGCAGGTCGAACTCACGGGTCTCGTACGTGTCGTACCGCTTTGCGTCCCGGAGGACGATACGGAAGACTGGGGTGTCAGTGAGACGGGGAAAGAACATGGAAGATGGTGCGATGAGAAGCCTACTTGAACTCATGAGGAGAGAGAAGTGCGTGTCGCCAGAGAGTGACGCGAATACAGCCTTGGTTGGGCGGCGGAGCAGTTGAGCGGGGTGAGGTTGAGCGGGGACGCTGTGTAGGTAGTACCGTGGGCCAGGAGGCAGGAGCAACCAGTAACGTGTAGATAAAGGTGCTGCTGGCGTGGAAGGAGTGGGAAGAAGGGTAAAGCGAGTAATTCACGCGAAGTTATTGCAAACCTCGCCGTCACCGTGGGCGGGGCAGAGAGACGGTCAATGGTGAGGCAGCCACCAGGCGGTGATGCTCCTGGTCACGACTGCCTTCCGGGGTACTATCAGCTTATCAGCCCGCAGTAGGGCGCATTAGTGGGTTTAGCGCGACGGGAAGGTTCCCCACCCTGAAATCTGCAGCGGCGCGACGAGAAAGTTGCTGCTGCGCTCTATTGTCACCTGGATAATGACTCACGACGCGACGACTATGCGAGACGACGACCACTGCGACGACTCCCGGTAGCATCAACTCACCTCAGCGACCCCGCACACTCACCCCCCGCCACCATGGAGGCGCCGCGCAGCTCGGCCAAGCAGCAGGTCGTGGACCGCATCCCCGCGCGCATCAAGCACATCCAGTTCGGCATCTACTCCAACCAGGACATCGTGAACCAGGCCGTCCTCGAAGTCTCGGACCGCAATGTCTACGACCTCCAGCCCGCCGCCGACGGCACGCGCTCGCTCACGGCCAACGGGCCCATGGACACGCACATGGGAATCTCGAGCAAGCAGGGAAAGTGCGGAACGTGTGGCGAAGGCCTCGACAGGTGCAACGGCCACTTCGGTCACATCAAGCTTGCGCTGCCGGCCTTCCACGTGGGGTACCTGAAGCACATTATCGAGGTGCTCAACTGCATCTGCAAAGACTGTTCGCGCGTGCTGCTGGATGAGGTGGAGCGACGGAGATATCTGCGCAGTATGCGCCGGCCCGACATGGACACTCTGCGCAAGGGCGCAGTCACCAAGAAGATTCTCGACGACTGCAGGAAGAAGAAGACGTGCCCATACTGCAACGCTCTGCAGGGTACTGTCCGCAAGGTCCCTGGCCACCCGCTCAAGATCATCCACAACCGATACGATGCCTTCAACCGGTCTACCGCGAAGACGAAGAAGCCACCCGCCGGCAAAGTCGAGTTCGATCAGTCCTTCGATACCGCCAAATCCGCGAACCCCGATCTGGACAAGCACCTGAAGAAGGCTGTGGACGACATGCATCCGCTGAGGGCGCTCAACTTGTTCAAGAAGATATCACCAGAGGACTGCGAGCTGCTGGCCATGATACCCGAGGATGCGCGACCGGAGATGTTGATCTGGGAGTACATGCCTGTACCACCAGTCGCGCTCCGCCCATCCGTGATGCAGGAAGGCGGCGCGACCGAGGACGACGTGACCAACAAGATCGGAGACATATGTCAAATCAGCAGCATAATACGCGCTGGGCTTGCGCGAGGCTTTCCTCTCCAGATCCTGATGGAACAGTGGGACTTTTTGCAGCTGCAGATCGCCATGTACATCAACAGCGACGCGCCTGGCCTGAAACAACAGGGTCTCCAGAAGACTATGCGCGGTTTCTCCCAGCGCTTGAAGGGAAAGGGTGGCCGATTCCGTCAGAATCTCTCCGGAAAGCGTGTCGACTTTTCTGGTCGTACTGTCATTGGTCCCGACCCGAATCTGAGCATCGACGAAGTCGCTGTCCCGCAGCGCATCGCGAAGAACCTCACATACCCCGAAAAGGCCACACGGTACAACATTGACAAGCTGAGGAGATTGGTGAAGAATGGATCGAACAAGTATCCCGGCGCCAACTACATCATCAGCGATCAGGGACCAAACAAGGAGCCTAATAAGACCTCACTTATTGGTCTTTCGCGATTCGATACCACGGGCGAGAAGCTAGAAGCCACGTCGAAGCGACTCAGAATTGGCGATATCGTTGAGCGACACATCGAAGACGGCGACATTGTTCTCTTCAATCGGCAGCCCTCTCTACACAAGCTCAGTATCTTGAGTCATCGCGCCAAAATCCGCCCTTGGAGGACCTTCCGTCTGAACGAGTGTGTCTGCAACCCTTACAACGCCGATTTTGATGGTGACGAGA